CTTAGAGAATTCTGGATAATTATGAAGAATATCTTAATGTAGCGTGCTTTATCTCTTTAGGTATGCTTGTTTACGGGTTTTGTCTAAGTAAATATTATATGCGTTAGATATTTTTGTCTCTAGCATTAGTAATAGATATGTATCAATATTGACTTTCATGAAAAACTTTAGAAAAAAAGGAGACAAAAACACTACTATACTGGAATCAGTGATCACAATTGACCACACAAATTTACATCGCTTAAGTGAAGTGAGGGGCAACCATTTTAAAAGCCACCATACGGCACAAATCAGTCACATTTGTATTATCGTTTTCTTGTCTGCTTTCCTCATTCGGACAATTTATACACTCTTACTTGATATAAGTAGAGGATACTGAATGTACTAAATTTATTGAACGAGATGAATAAAATCATATTATGCGAGCCTCTGGTTTTATTACACTCCTACGCCATAGTTTATGTAATAAGAATAATGACATAACTTTTTTTTTTTTTTTTAATTTCAGCAACATAGTTGCTCATTTATTTTCCCCGTCCATGTGGAAAGTGGGGTCGGGGAACCATCCACCACTTCCACTTACAATATGATACATCTATCCCAGTATATTATGAACATACAAAGTTATATTATATGATAATAGTGTTTTCAACATAACAACAGAACTATAAAAAAAAGCCATACATATTCATACAGTATATAATGTTGAAATGAAAAAAAAAATGTTCCATGGGGGCAGATTTATATAGTGTTTAAAGATGGGGGGTTTTTATGTTTAAAAAAAAAAATATGTTTCACAAATCTTAAAAAAACATTTTCTAGCCAAAGCTAACTGCCATGTTTTGTATGTTATATTATTTTGATTGTACATAATTCACATATTTAGTGTATATATTCAATGCTAAATGTATAACAAGTTCACAGACAAAAACTGCAGCTTAATATAATAAAGCAATTTTAATTGTAGTGAGCACAGGTACCTGTAACAACACTCATCTCCAATGCTCTATATTTGCTATATACTACAGTCTTATCACAGCATATTGCCCATATAGAGCACGGTGAAGACAGTCCTGCCTCAAGTACATGTGGTAGTGAGTAAGTAAACAATCTTTCTAGTATGCTTAGGAGCGTTGTCTCCCTTAAATCACTGATATATTTATGTTTCAGATGAAATATAATGGTAATGCCTAATTGCTAGAAAAAAACAACGACTTTTAAATGTTAATATGAACAAGTTCTTTCATCATGTAAGTTCTAAAAAAAAAAAAATTATTTTTTTTCACTGCTTTAAAATACTTCAAGTCTAACCTAGACAGGTGAATTGTACACTTTTCATAGTCAAAGACTAAACTTATAACACTTATTACAAAATGTGTGTATACAAATTTATGTACATAAATAATACACAAATTATCAGAATATAAATACAAATGTAGACAGAAAGCTTTATGTATGAATTGATTCATAAAAAAAATAGATATGTAAAAGGTTTCTGGTGTAAACTACTAGAGTTTCCTTCTTAATGAAAAATGATAAATAAAAACAATTGAAAATAAGAATCAGAAAGGATGTGAATAAGGCGACGGAAGACCACATCATAATGGTAGTGGGTGAGAGTTAAGAAAACTGTTTTTTTTTTTTCGTTTTTTTTTGCTTTGCATATAGTTATGTTAAATAGAAATTTCATAAAAACCTTTCAAGTATAGTACATGGATATAATATTCCCTATTGGGATTCAACTGGAAGAATCAGACTAAAATTTTTGCCATGACCTTTCGAAATTTTCATACCTGACCGTTTGTTTTGCAACACATTTTTCAATGTTTATAATTGGCTATTATTTGTGACTTAAAAATTTCCAGTCCAGGCCTTATTTTTTTCATTTTACTATAATATATAAATTGCTTTGCCCATAATATTATCTTATTTATAACAATATCTAATTTTGTATTACCAAAATAATATATCTATAGTAGTCCAATCATTAAAATTCAGATTACATTTATTTATTATATAAGACTGAAGTTGCCGCCAAAATTGTTTAATTATTTCACAGTCATTGAACAAATGGATCAAAGTTTCTGGCTGACTTTGGCAAAAAGTACAAGCATCTTCATTAGTAAGATTCATTTTTTTCATCAAGTGATTTTTGTTCCTAGTATTCTATGGTTAATCCTAAATTGGAACCAAGTTATTTTGGGGTCTTTAGTAAATTTATAACTCATATCATATATTGAATTCCTTTAAAAAAATCCTGGGTCTGTGATATCTCTTAATTCATCTTGCCATTTTTGTAAAGAACTAGGAAAATGACCTGCATCTTGCATTGCTTTATAGATTGATTTACACCCTTTTTTATCCTTAATTATTAGTGCTAGAGTTTGTGGAATATGTGTATAGAAGCTAAGTTTTTTTAATAAATGTTGCATATTATTTACTTCAAGGAATTCATTTACAGCTGTTAACATACCTCTATATTCCAAAAAGTTGCTTCCTTATATTATAAGTTTCCAAAAAATTCAGTATATGTGTAAAAATCTCCATTTTGATTTAAAAGATCACCTAAAAAACAGAACCCCTTTAGAGATCCATCTATTAATACAAACACTTGAATTTCCAACTTTAATTCCTGGGTTAAGCCATAAATGAACTGAAAAACACTGTTTACTATTTTCTGGTTTTACATTTAGAGATAAAACATAATAGCTATATAGAACATCTTTCCAGAATGGATTAATATCTAAATGTAGTTTTGTTTTTATATAATCTGAGCCATATTTGGAGATATGGTTTACATATGGACATATACTATCTACTAAAAAACTAAATTTGTTATTTTAAATTGGACAGCCTTCGTATCCATGTTACTTTTAGACTATTACTAAATTTTTTTAAATCTACCATTTTCAACCCTCCAAACTTGTAGTCTTTGGTAATAATATTCCTTTTGACTTTATCTACAGAATTATTCCATATAAATTTGAAGAAAAGGTTCTGTATGGTGGTAATTTTGTCCAAGGGTGGATTTGGTAAACTCAAAATAAATGATTTAACTTTGCAAGAGCAAGGGATTTTACAACAACCAGTTTTCCTATTGGAGAAAGGACTCTTTTAGACCAGTTCGCAAATAATCTCTTGATTTCTTCAATTTTTTAAGTCAAAATTTAAATCTATAATTTCAGATAAATCTGTAGTAAATTTAACACCTAGAACTGTAAAGATTTTTTTCGTTCCATGACAGATTATACTCTGGACAAAGAATAACATTACTGTTTTTTTCCGATCCAAACCAGATAACTTTTGTTTTATCTACATTAATATTAAGGCCTGAGATCTCTAGCATAAAAATTTTAATGTTAACATTGTGTTCTTAAGAGATTTTTTTGTACCATCTAAAAACAAACTAGTGTCATCCGCATATTGGGATATCTTGTATTCTTTTCCACAGATTTTTATACCTTTTATATTTTTATTGTTTCTTATCATGATTGAAAGAAATTTCAGCACATAGAATGAAAAGGTAAGGCGACAGAGCATCTCCTTGACGACAGCCTCTCTGTAGTAAGAACCATTCAGACATATGTCCATTTTACAATCACACATGATTCAATATTGGTATAAAACAATTTAATCCAGGTTTTTAATAGAATTGCCAAAATTGAAAAAGTCTAAAACTTGGTACATAAAGTTCCAGGAGACAGTATCAAATGCCGCTGCAAAGTCAATTAAAAGTAATAAACCAGGCATATTATTTTTTTCTGTATTAAAAAGCAGATCATATAACATTCTTATATTTGATGCCATTAGTCTACCTGGTAAGAATCCAGTTTGGTCTTCATTTATAATATTAACTAATACATTTTTAATACGAAAAGCGATTGAGGCAGAGGCTACCTTATAAGCAACATTTAATAAAGAAATAGGTCTCCAATTTTTTAAGTAAAGTTTATCTTTATTACCTTTGGGTATACAGGTTATGTCTCCCTGTTTTTGAGTAATTGATAATTCTCCAATTGAGTGAGCATAATTAATTGACCTTACTAAAAATGTGCCAATATCATTCCAGAAAAATTTGAAAAATTCTACTGTAAAACCATCATTTCCAGGACTAGTATTATTAGACATGCGCTTTTAAAGAATTTAACATTTCGGTGTATGTCAGAGCTCTCCTCAATGGATTGCTTATCAATTTCTGTTAGTTTTCGGAACATTAAAATCACTCAGTGTTTCAGTTAAAGATATATTTTCAGTTTCTTTCACTTTATATAAATTTTCATAGTGTTGTTTTGTTTCAGTAAGAATTTCATCTTGTGTTTTTTAAAATATCACCTTTTTTTTGAGATTAAGTGTTCATAAACTTTGAAACATAATTTCTATTTTCGAGATTACAAAAGTAACGGGTAGTTTTTCTCCTTCATGTATCCATTTAGCTTTTGATCGAATGAAAATGCCATCCATTTTTTTTTCTTAAATCAGCAAGCTGTCTTCTTTTACTTTCTAACAGTTCATAATTTATATTTTTGTTTTTTTTCAAATATTTCGATTTCTTTTAAAAGTTTATCTTCTTTATTAATTTCTGTTTTTTTCTTATGTGAAGCATAACTAATTGTTTTCCCTCTAATATTTAATAGCAAGGTCTCAAAAAAATAACTGATCATTAACATTAAATCTTATTTCTTGAAGGGGTATATTATCTATATCTGATACATCTAATGAATACTGTAGTTTTGTTTCCGGTAATAATATTTTTCACTTCATTTATGTATTTTTCATCTCTTAAGAGGGAATTATTAAATTTCCAGTAAGACCGCCCCTTTTTTAAATTTACCAAATTCTAGTGACATTAAAATAAGTGAATGATTCTGTAACGATACCCAGGTAAAATTAAAGTTTTGTCAATATCGGTATATAAAGTATCTGAAATTAGGGAAAAAGTCAAGGCGTGCTTTTTTCTTTGGATTTTGTCTAAACCACGTATATTCCCTTTTTTCCAAGTTATTTTCTCTCCAGCAATCCATTAGGTTAAACTCTGACATTAAACTGTGTAGCTTATCACGTGCATTTGGATTGTTTAAGTGTAAGTAATTAAAACAATCTATATCTGGATTAAGTACCATGTTTAAATCTCCAGCAAGAATATATAAAGTATTATTGAATTGTGACATTTTCTCTGAAACCATCTCATAAAAATTTGGGTTGTCTCTATTTGGTCCATAAATATTTAATAGAGTGATATCTTTATCGCATATTTTACAGTTCAGAATAAGCAAATTACCTTCATTATCCTTCTCGATATTATTTACTTTACAATCAAAATTATTGCAACACCCCGAGATTGACTATTGAAATAAGAAAAGTAGGTATCATATCCCCATATGGACCGTATATACTTTTCTTCCTTATTTGTGAAATGAGTGTCTTGTAACATACATATTGAGTACTTTTTACTTTTTAAGAAATTAATAACATCTCTACGTTTAGCTCTGTCGCCTAGGCATTGAACATTCATAGAAATCACTGACACATTATTTGTCATGGCTATCTAAATCATGAAAAAATTGTCTAAAAACATGTGAAAAAGAAAATATAATTGTCTGATATTTTATGAGAACAGGTAAAACTTCTTGATAGATATATAGAGTATTTAAATAAAAACCTTTAAAAATGTAGGGTCTCACCCAAAAACTTAATGGGTCATCCACCAAAAACCTTATATTATCCATTAGTTTGTAATTTTTATATGAATCGATCGGCATGTTGAAGAAGAGGGCTTTAAATTAAATTTAAGCTGTAATATATTCTCCATTTCACTAGGGGGCAGTAAATGTGCCTATTCATATATAAAAGGATTGTGCTTTTACAAAAAAAAAGAGTGAAAAAGTTTATAAATATAATGTAGGAAACATATATATACTGTATGTGTTATACCATTTCCAGGTATTTTCAATAAGTTTATATAACAACAATACAAATACCAGTACATAGAGTATAACTTTACATTCCAAAAAGAAAATAAACAGTAAAAAGTAAACAACATACTCATTGATTTACTGTGTTTTGACCATTTTCCCTGTGCCTCTGCCCATTCACATTAGATTCATATCTTACACAGTTCACGTTTCACTGAAAAAAATAAGAACCAGACCACAAAGAACCGCTTTCAAAACGTAATCATACTACTTTTTTTTCTATTATCTGGGATTAAAATAACTTAGTTTTAATGTATCCCAGTAATTATAAATATATACATGTACCGAAACGGCGAAAGGACGAACTGACTCATCAAAACAAATATACGAAAGAACATCAAATCTACTTTTAAACTTTATAAAGAAAACATTTCTACGTGTGTTTTTCAATTAAGAGGTTTGCATTTTACTTAAGTTTTCATACCGTAATATCTCCCAGCTTTGGTGTTGTGAACAACAGTTTATAATTCTTGACAGGTAAAATTTGGCATGGGTGCAGCCATTTTATCAGGTGGCGCTGTTTGCGCACTGCGCATCAGCCAATCACAGTATAGTAAGTGAAATTACCCAACAGGCTCAGTATAAAAATAAACACTACCACGTGCTTACGCACGTGTTTAATGTAAACAATCCAATCACGGTATCGAAAGTGAAATTACCCAAGAGGGGCCGTATACAAGTAAACACTACCGCACATGTTTAATGTAAACAATATTTTAATAGAAACAATTAATGTTCACGTATTCTTCCTAGGGTAAAGAGGCACAGTAAAGCATAGTTTGATAGTAATTCATGTTTGATAGAAAGTCAAAAAATAAATTTAAACAAAAAATAGTTAACAGTATATATATCTATATATGAAAACTACACAATTTTGAACATTTTCCCAACAAAATATTAGTCAAATAAATGTAAACATTAGTGCTATATCTATCAGTCTATGTATGAATAGTTACCAAACCACACAAAGTCACTTAATTAAGATTCCGTGCTTGGTATCACAGTTCCTGAGGACCCGACGGGCACTTTATCCAGATCACTTAGACGAGATACCACTAGTTTTTTATTGTTTTTCAGTAATGCCACGATTCTGCCTTCATCGCTCCAGGCAGCCTTTACCTGATCGTGTGCGGAGGTGTTTTCCAGAAGTTTTGCGTTGACCCGTGTGAGGTCTTCTCTTATGACGATGAACGAACCCTTAAGTTGTCTGCGAGCTTTCAATACTTCATGTTTGAGATATCTCTGTACAAACTTACATATGATGGGCCTGTTCCCATCACTACGGAACTTCCCGATCCTATGTGTGATGTCAAAGTCTCCATTTCCGACTTTTATATGTAGCTTATCGGAAATAATTGAAATTACCTTCTTACATGTGTCCTTGTAGTTTTCACTGACATCGTCTGCAACTCCGTAAATTCTGACGCTGTTACATCGCGTATACTGTTCTAGATGATTGTTCTTTTCTTCCAATGATTTAACTTTAACTTCCCTTTCATCTATTTGCTCTTGAAGCGTTTTGTTTTTATGTAGTAACTGATGGTTTCCTTCCTGCAGTTGATCGGTTTTTACTTCTAAATCTGATACTTTATTTCTCAGAGTTTCTACTACATCTTCTATTGACTTAACCCTATCACTTACTACCTTCACTTCTTTATGTATATTATCTAGTTCCTTCTGCACTTGGAGTTTAATTACTTTTTCTAGGTCTTTGAGCTTCTTACCAAGCAGATCCTCAGTAATCATTAATTTAAATTTTGATTCAATGTATTCTTGTGATGCCAAACTATCTAATTTATCAGAGACACTCTTCAATATATGCTTCAACTCATCAGGATTTGCATTAAATATCAAATGTTTATCAAGGGTGGGCTGGGTAGAAGCCTCGCTTGGTTTACATATGACATAACTTTGTTTTATAATCTATAACTTTATATGGATTATCTATTTATGTGCATAAAGGAATGTTTTCGTTTGGGACTATCGCACGCTTCATAAGATTAGATTTTAGATATTAGTTAATAAGGTTCCTTGTTTCATTAAAGAGAAAGCAATTAAGTTTAATATCAAAAACGTTCCAAAATCTGATAATCAATTATGGTTTTCCTAAAGCGGCTGTCTTACATACCGTTGACTTTAATTAGACTGAATGATAAATATCACTCAAGGGAAATTGGCCAGAGACAGATTTGATTAATTAATATCCATCTTAAAGGACGATTTGATTATTATTTGCAAATCAACCGTAGTCGTGAACAACATTCACAAATTATTGGCTCGAACTGGTCAAAATATAGAAACTGATTAAGTTCTTGTCAACTGATATCAATAATTATTATTATATTTTTAACACTTAAATCACGAATACAAAAACAATTTTTGTCCTTATTCACCGTATGGAACTGCTTGCGTCAAAATCAATGTAAAAGGACTTCAGACTTGTAAACTATTTCACACTATATCCCTACCTCAGCTGAAGAAAGGAATGACAATATTGGTTATCCTTCAAAAACTTATTCATAAGCCATGTTCACTACTTTGTTTACATTTTCTTTCATTCATTTACTACAATGATTTAACAGTCAGCAAAAATTTCTTCATTTTTGTCAATGTCATGTCGATATCTATTCCATAAATGCCGTTATTTTTAGCATCCCTTAGAACTACAATGTACCTCGCATTTTTCAAACAATTAAGGTATTAGCTTTTTACAAACAGCTCTCTATAAGTTATTAATGAACTTATATAACTAATTGTCACATATGTCAGAAATGACCAAAGGGAAAATATTATTTACAAATAAAGCTGTTCGTGCTCCACTATTCCTAGTGCTATAAAGTAAACTGAACTTTTATTGATAGTGAATTTCGCTGGTGTCGAACTTAAACCAGATGTGACAGAGAGAATGCAATCACATACATTTTTGAAATGTAATAGCGTTAAAATTATTAAACTTAATGACTATAAATGAAAACCTAACCGATACAGTAATTACACCAACGCTGATACCGCCAAGTAGACCTGACAATAGCTTCGGTTTTACATCGAAATTTGAAACACAAACATGAATAATAATTTTTTAACAAAATGCGTGATGTAACAGATTTAATAAAGCCGTTTTAGTTAGGCTTCAAGTAAAGCCTTGTAAACTATGGTTGGTATTTATATCACCAAGTTGCATTTCGTTATGCACAAGGATATCATATGCTTTGTTTGTAATATGTTCGTCTTTTACAGGATATTCATAAAACGTATTCAAATCAGCTGAAGAAAAACAAATGTTTAAAAGGTCATTGCTGTTTTTGTTTCAGTATGTTCGTCGTTTAGAATGATGCTAATGTAAGAGAAAAAAGATCAATAAAATAAATGATGTTCATAAAATATATTCAAATCAGACAAAGAAAAATAAAAACAAATCTTTCAGCATTCTCAATTAAATGTTTTCGCCGTGTTATAAATCAGACAAAAGTTTTTGTTCTGTATATGAAAAGAACAAGTGCAATCGATATGCTTAAATTTGAAACCCTTTTAGAAAGAAAATATGTTGATCCTCATGATTTTACTAAAATTTAATTACTTTTTGTTTCTTATTTCTTCCTTTTTTGTTTTGTTTTCCATGAAGTTCCAAGAAGTACGTTTCTAACAGCAATGTTTATCATCAGTCAGTTCAAGCTGTATTGTAGTAAAGATGGTTTAATTTCTTATAAAAAAAGTTATATATTAGGATGAAATAATGAAGTTTTTTAAGTTATGAACAAAAGGAGGGTAAGTTTTAACTCACTTCTTATGTTAATTTCAAAGATCATTTAGTTGGTGCGTTCAACAAAATCATTTGTTCTGATTAATACTAGCTCTGGTGACCCAAATCTTTTGTTTAATAGTCATTTAACCTTTACAAGTTCAGGTGACCTTTCAAAGCTATCAATATAAGCCAGATAGGGGCGATAAAATATCCTAAAAAGTTTTGTGTTCAATTCACTAAATTGGCTCCTGGTTAAAATTTGTCTATCTAACTTATTGCAAAAAGTACATGTAGATACCACGAAAAACAATCTATAGAAGAACGCCTATCAATGTGGATTGTTTTCTCTCTGAATATCAAATAAATTTTGATCATGCATCTGCATAATGTCAAACATATAATGAACATAAAGGGAATAGTTCCAAAAGGTGATAAATCATTGTAAGCAATACATATCTCGATTATGACAGCACTTTAGCGAAGATAAATCATCACAAGTCTAGGTTAAGGAGAATGCCAAAATCAGTCATAAGGTTCTCGCTCATGTCTTGATGTAAAATCAATGAATAGCCATTCAATCAACCAAATGCAAATATTGTGTATTCTAGATTAAAAAAATTAGGGTATTGATACACCATTATAAAAGAATTTAACAAATTACTTTTATATGTTGTTATATAGACACAACATGGATCATTTATCATTAAAAATTGAGTATGTCGGTTTTACAAAGCAAATAATTTTTTTATGTCATATTCTTTTATTGTGTTTTAATATTTTAACATTTACCTTTTAAATTTACAAAGGTACTTAGAAATCACCCTTGAACAGTAAAATTTAAATCAACATTTCTGAACCTGAAAACCTTCATTTTTATAATTTCTTAAAAGTTATAATTATACTCTAATTATTCTTATTTTAAGCCGCACAGGATGAATAATAAACGAATAAATGACGAAAACCAGTATAAAACTTAAAATTTTATTAATACTGGTTTCTTTCATACCGATTTATTTTTTTACGTTTTAGTTCAACATTTCTGGCTACAAATGTAGTATAATCTAATGTTATTTTAATAATGGCCTCTCAGTGACAATCGCATTTAGATAAAGGAAAATCGATTGAGAGAACAGTAAAACCGGCGCAAACCTGCCTTAACTGGACTGTCATGAATTATTTTGGTGTTTATCGGTAAATGATCAAGGACTATTTGCATATCTAAAATTATTACACTCTACAAATGAGATTGTTATTTTCTTGAATACCGAATACATATTTGTAAACGATACATCAATAGAAAAATGGAAAACTAATATCTGTGAAAACAATTAATGTCTGACAAAAAGACTGGACACTCTGTGTCAGAAGAAAACAGCAAAACAAAACATGTACAATAAAATCGCTAGAATTAGATTCGCTAAATTTAGATTACTGCCAAAATCGCGAAAATAACCTGATATACGGTATGTGTTAAGATTTTAAAAACTGCTGTTCATAACTGCCACATTTCGTTTGACATTTGTGCGTTTAACAACTTTTTAGCCTTTCAATCAACTAACCAGTGGCCACTGTGGTGAAAGCGAACAAAAAATAAATAAATAAATAAATAAATAAAAAAAAAATAACCTCTAGTAGCATTATAAAAACATATCAGCTATAAGAGGAGCACAATTAGTTCCCATTGGGATGCTGTTTCTTTTTAAGCCGTCGTGAAACCAGAAATGTGTATTTCAGGATAATTATTACAGGTGAACGAAAAAGGCGATGCCCACGCCTTTTTAGATAAATAATCATAACTGCAAATCGGCTCTTACTCGGCAGTAATTAGTGTAGCCGCTATTTCATGAAGAGACCAGTGCTGATATTGAAAATTGTGATTGGCATATTTTAATTAGCCAGGTCAGGTGTTTCTAAAAAGGCTGATAACACTGTAGCAATGTGAGGATACATTCAAATTTATTACATAGATAATGCACGTGGAGTTCAGCTCGCAGAGACAAATGTGAACACAGTAACCTTTTGATATCCTTTAAACTTTATGAAAAATGTCAATTATTAATTGCTGACTGTTTTATATTTTCTAGAAAAAAGTAAGCAAAACATTATTTTGTTTCATATGACAGGAATGAATTGCATCAAAAATACTAGGTATTGTTGAAAACTCATTGTTTTACATGCCAGATTAAGTAATTGGACCCTATCCTTGTTTGTACGTGACTGCTGGGGAAAAATAATGTTATGCTTAATTAAAGAGGTGACACTTTCTATATTTTTATCTGATATCGAGTTGTAAGAGCCGATTTGCAGTTATATGGGTAAGAGTCCGATAAGACTCCCTACGGTCGTCTTAATACGAACTCTTACCCATACTAAAATCTACGCCAAATCTTCAGGGATCGAAAATATAGCGACTCTGCATGAAGATTCATATAAACGAATTGATTCATTGTGAAAGGGACTCACGCATTTATTTCATCAAAATATACATAAATTTGCATTAACCTTAAACATCCTTATGCCTTTTGTCACAAAATGAATGCAGTTTATGACCTTATTATATTAATATGCTAGAGAGTATCGAAATTCAGATGAGTGTGACAAAAGGCCAGCTTTAGAGGTGCGTCTCTTTCTTCCATTCACAACCCTTGTACATTTTTCTGCTGGTTGCCTTTCGGTGCTTCGGGGTTGTGTCGAGGAGCTGCGTATTGTCTTGTTATTATCTGTCCTTGTTTTTATTTAATCGGCATTGACTTGTGTATGTGAAATGCGTGGGGGTTATTTGTATGCCTTTGGTTGGCGTGCCCCTTGACTGTTGAATCTTTTAATTTGACTAATAACCTTACAATAATCTTCTTCGCCTTGGTCAATTCATATCAATCGGGTTATATTTTCCTTTCGAATGTCAGAAACCTATGATCATAGATGTTTGCATTTGAATACTCAGCTTACAACGTACAAATGTGATATCATTCAAGAATTGTTACCATTATATTTTTGATTATCCAACGCGGATTTAACTTTGCCTAAAGAACTTACCTCGTAAAAGCAGAAGCCTAAAGGAATTGACACCATAAAATGCATTAACCGTTGAGTATTTTGCGTGGGAAATTTGTTATCTAATGAGCGCTAATGAGAGTGTATTCTCTTTTACGAACAAACTACGCCAAATCGTTATAACTGCAAATCGGCTCTTACTCGGCAGTAATTAGTGTAGCCGCTATTTCATGAAGAGACCAGTGCTGATATTGAAAATTGTGATTGGCATATTTTAATTAGCCAGGTCAGGTGTTTCTAAAAAGGCTGATAACACTGTAGCAATGTGAGGATACATTCAAATTTATTACATAGATAATGCACGTGGAGTTCAGCTCGCAGAGACAAATGTGAACACAGTAACCTTTTGATATCCTTTAAACTCTATGAAAAATGTCAATTATTAATTGCTGACTGTTTTATATTTTCTAGAAAAAAGTAAGCAAAACATTATTTTGTTTCATATGACAGGAATGAATTGCATCAAAAATACTAGGTATTGTTGAAAACTCATTGTTTTACATGCCGGATTAAGTAATTGGACCCTATCCTTGTTTGTACGTGACTGCTGGGGAAAAATAATGTTATGCTTAATTAAAGAGGTGACACTTTCTATATTTTTATCTGATATCGAGTTGTAAGAGCCGATTTGCAGTTATATGGGTAAGAGTCCGATAAGACTCCCTACGGTCGTCTTAATACGAACTCTTACCCATACTTATTGTTCAGTGATATTAGCATTTTTGTGATATACGAACAAGCCGCATCCTTTTTTTCTGCCATCTGTCCTAAATGATTCCGGTGTTATTAGCCTGGAAAATTGTAATTAGCAATAAATCACATTCTAGCTACCACATGATACTGTTTGTTTCAACAAATACACGCTAAAGACTCAAGCATATTATATCAGTTAAGTTGTTTTCAATAATTGTTCCGTGCAATTTCATAAAGATGGCACAAATGAAACATCATAAAGTGCTGTGTGCTGTGTGTGCTGTCTTTTTGTTGCTTCGGGATATAGCGTTTAAAATAATATAGTTTAGGACATGACATGAAAGCAAGGATACACTCTTAAAAGTTTTTACCGAATGTAAATGTAAATATGTTGATTAGATAACTATCATGAATTATGATTAATCTAAAAGGGCTTGTTTCCCGAAGACACCCAAACAAAGAATTTCCAATGAAATAAGTAAGTTACACACAGTTTTAAATTTCCTACAAGTCATATTGCATGGACTACTTTACACTATTTATATCACAAAAGCGCAATGTAATATTGTGTGAACATGCAATAAAATAAAAACTTGTAACACAATAGCAGGATTCAAATATATTAAACACCTCATGACAAACGTAACGTTTATATTATCTATACAAGGTATAAATGTTTTGTTATATATACGTTAAAGACATAAAATGTTGTGTAAGTTTGACCTCTTATTTTAGTTTAAAATTATTTATCATGTATATGTATATGATTTATTTCTTGTATATTACAAATTAAAGATATTTCAAAAAGAATTTAAGAAAATTATTATTTCATTTAGCACTTTTTTCTTCATTCATAACGGCAAAATGTCGTTATCCTAGAAGGCAATTAATTCATAAAAGGTGCGTGGAAATGACGTCATTTAAAACACGCGACTTGTATTACATGGGGATGTAAGCACCGGTGTAAAACAGTAGATAATCCTGTCGGATATGCAATAATATATGTTCTTGCATATCAGACCGGTGTTTACGTTAAAATTACCCATGCCGGAGATTTAATCTGTCATGGGGATGCAAGATGAGTCATAAATAACTGTAATGTAGCTAACAATTTATTTATTTCTTTAACAAAAAAGAAAACATTATGCCATTGCGATAAAACAGTTATAGTATATGAAACGAGTTAGTTACGAGGATATAACACTGGCTTGACGACATCTCGGGATGTTTCTGCAAAAAATTGTCTCGGCCTAACGGCCTCGCCATTTTTTTAAGCAGAAACAGCCCTTGATGTCGCCCCAGCCAGTGTTATATCCTCATAACTAACTCGTTTCATGTACTATAATGTAAACGTATGTCAGGATGGGGAAAATAAATACAATTCTTTTAAAGTTTTCTAAGTTTATAACAAGTATTTCGGCAACAACAGTGTCTAGTGAGTTAATAATACTGGATATAAATACATACCAACTTACAAGTTTGGATAACAATGTCGTTTGTAAGATGTTTATTGTATTTGAACTTTGGCGGTTTTAAAACTTTATTTGCATTACTTGGAGGTCAAGACCGAAGTGACAACATTGGTTGGATTCCGACTTTTATAAGGTTCGATGTTTGAAATCCACCAATGAAACAATAGAAATCCGGAAATCCTCCAATGGACAGACGGCCGGATTTCTGAATCTGAAATCTTGGATTTCAATGGCGGCCATATTGAAATCTTATATAAAATCTACATACGAAAATCATTAATAAACAGAAACATGTAGTGAATACTTAAGGATTTCTGACCTTAATCAATCATAAACTTTACATAAATTAAGTTCTTGAATTGAATTTGACTGAAATTGATATTAGCAATAAGAAATCTTCAACATAAAATATGAAGTGACAGATTTCAAAGATGTCTGTCATTGGACGTCTGCTACACAGAAAATGTAAAGAGAAAATCAGTTTTCTGCTATACAATAAGGTAAGTTTAACATTTCTATCAGCTTAAATTGCAAATTCAATAAGTGTTAATACAGGGTTCCTTCAGATCAATCAGGTAAGTGAATCTTTATCTTGTAGAAGTCAACAATATATGACTAAGCTATAGGATTTCACAATGTCACTTGGATTTCATTATAAGTTCTGTTGTAAGTACATTTCAAAATTATGCTAGAATGTCAGATCCTTACACACCCCCTCCTAAGTTTAAGACTGATATTCCCTGAACTTTTTATACTGTCCGAAATAGGTGCTAGACCACAAAATATTTATGATTTATTCACCAGTTAGTTTAAAACTTCTGCTGTTCTGTAATTATTATTACTTTATGTATATATATTATATGTATATGAAAAGTTTATTTAATCAGATAATGTAAATGTCCTCAGTCTTATTGTAGTTTTTATGTCATGCTTAATTATTTTATTCAATTCCTAGGTGTTGATTCTTCAGATGCGGAAATGTCAAGATTTTATTCAGATGCGAATTTTAACACCAGCAATTTGTTTCAATATATCTTCCAATTCTTTAGAGTGTGATGCTGCTTCAAGCTGATACATGTATGTGTCATACCAAGTTTTGACTATTTCTTTAAGCTTCAAAGATGTTTCCAATAGTAACCTAGATGGCTGATACTCACGTGGTAGCGGTTTGTTTGGAAGCAATTAATATGTATATTTATAACATACAGCATACATTCATACACAATTACTTTAGATTGAATACTACATATCTCCTAGTCCATTTTAAAGCATTGAACAAATTTCTGATAGTCTTCTTATGCTGGGTACTGTTTTTCTAACCCAATGTCTACCAGTCATTAAGTTTCCCATAGAATACAGCAGCTTCACATTATAGAATCACACACGTTAAGACCAGACTCTCATGGCCATTAACACACGTGACATCATCCTAATGAAGTCACAATTGTCATCTCATCGTAATCCCTGGGTGATCAGGCCAGCATTACCGTGTCCCGCTTTCCATTCCTCCAAAATTTATTTTATTATCCGTGAAAGGTATTGTTATCTATGGTCATTCTTAATACACTTTTAGCATAGTAGGTATTCTTTCTTTTGTTCTGCACATCTGAGATATGCATGTATTACTTGTTCACAGGCTACCATGCTTACTTTTCCAATTCTAAATATATATATAGGTCACCTATTGAAGTGCAAGTTCCAACGTCACTATTTTGTTTGATTACTATAGTTTGTTCCATTCACTTGAGTGCATGACGAGTCATTTAAAGCAACACCAATTACTATTTGAAGAGAATTGTCTTTGTAATTAGATTAAAAATAATAAAACTGGCAACATAAAGTCTTTGTTTGGTACCTCTAAAATAACCCACATTGATGTTTGTACTTTTTCAGATACAATAACTTAAAAAGCAGAACAATTATCTGAATGTGTACCTGTCCATTGTTGGATATTACCATCTAAAATATTAAGTCTCTGATTTTCTATATCAGTTGTTTTCACATTTTTTCATTAAAAGTCTTTGTCAATGATGCCTTGGGAATGTGAGTTTTGCTACTTGTAACCCAAAACACTTTCATATGTTTGTATAATGCTGACAGCATGATCTATAGTACTACAGTTTTTTTCGATGCACTTATACTGAAGCTCAGGACACAGGTTATTGTACAATTGATCTAAAGCCATTTGCTCCTGTGCATTGTAACTCAGATCAGAAAATGCCTTGCGTGCAAGTTCGGAGAGAGCATCTGCAAAAGACGCAATAGATTCTGTTGAACCTCGTTTTCTTGCTTTCAGAGAAGATACCCACACTGGTTGATCATACTTGTTAGTAAATCTATTTCGCAAGGCCTCAACCAGGCTGCGATAGCTTGATTTAATGTCAGTAGGAAGTCTTGAAATAAAAACTTGGGCTCTTCCCGTCAGACAGGACCTTAAGGCTAAATTCATGCTATGTAAGTCCCAGCATCCTAATTCAGCATTTATTTCAAAATGATCTATGAATTCTTCAAAATTTTCATCTCCACTAAATGATTTAAGTTTAAAATTTGGTCCTCTTGGCAACATTTTCCTTGAAAGTCCATTATGTCTGTCATAGTGTTTCGTCCACTGTGATGGTCTACCCCTTGAAGGGGGACTTCGGTCCTGACCTGCAAGCGGCTCTTCATCATTTATGTCATACTAATCCAATGGAGAATCAGCTCTTTCAGTTTCAATATGATGATGTGGCGCTTCATCACCTTGCCTTTCATCATTCAAAGCTCTGTTGTTATTATTCTGACAAAATTCTATTTCAGAATCTGAAGAGTCTCCCATAAGTTATGTTCATCCAATGTAAATACTGTTTAAATCCCTATTTACTGTTAGTCATAGATATACGAGTACAGTTTATTCAAGGAATAAAATAATGTTGTTGTCAGTTCATTTGTATGTTTCTCACAAAATAAAAATTTCTTCACCAGTTGAAATGTTATTTTTTTCTTATGGATGGATGGATGGATGAGATGCACTTGTCTGGTCCGTTTTATAGGATGGTAAATAATTTAGACCATCCCACTTCTGACACCATTGTAAACGTATGTCAGGATGGGGAAAATAAATACAATTCTTTTAAAGTTTTCTAAGTTTATAACAAGTATTTCGGCAACAACAGTGTCTAGTGAGTTAATAATACTGGATATAAATACATACCAACTTACAAGTTTGGATAACAATGTCGTTTGTAAGATGTTTATTGTATTTGAACTTTGGCGGTTTTAAAACTTTATTTGCATTACTTGGAGGTCAAGACCGAAGTGACAACATTGGTTGGATTCCGACTTTTATAAGGTTCGATGTTTGAAATCCACCAATGAAACAATAGAAATCCGGAAATCCTCCAATGGACAGACGGCCGGATTTCTGAATCTGAAATCTTGGATTTCAATGGCGGCCATATTGAAATTTATATAAAATCTACATACGAAAATCATTAAAACAGAAACATGTAGTGAATACTAAGGATTTCTGACCTTAATCAATCATAAACTTTACATAAATTAAGTTCTTGAATTGAATTGAACTGAAATTGATATTGCAATAAGAAATCTTCAACATAAAATATGAATGGTGACAGATTTCAAAAGATGTCTGTCATTGGACGTCTGCTACACAGAAAATGTAAAGAGAAAATCAGTTTTCTGCTATACAATAAGGTAAGTTTAACATTTCTATCAGCTTAAATTGCAAATTCAATAAAGTGTTAATACAGGGTTCCTTCAGATCAATCAGGTAAGTGAATCTTTATCTTGTAGAAGTCAACAATATATGACTAAGCTATAGGATTTCACAATGTCACTTGGATTTCATTATAAGTTCTGTTGTAAGTACATTTCAAAATTATGCTAGAATGTCAGATCCTTACACAAACTATTACATAATTGCGGTTCGGTTTGGAATTATTCGTCCCTCGGGAACCCGCCCAGTCCTCGGGACGGACATTCAGATGCGAACCGCAATATATGACAGATATTGTTATTCTTTTCATCATTCATTTTATCATTTTTTACATTTCACATCCAGGACGGTTCCATTTCTTAACTTAATGTCAAGATAATGGTAGTACAATTTCAACATAGTACCAGAAACTGAAGTGTAATTAAGAGTAAAGAAAATTTAATTGCTTGCATTCGTAAGGAAGTTTTTTAATAAATTTTCAATATTTTACATTTGCAGAAACAAAGGCAATTATTCACATTTTTACTCTTTTGATAAGTTTCTTATTTTCAAATACCGCAATTTTGGTCATTTTAGCACTGGGAAGATCGTTGGCAAATGGTTGCGCAGATACCATGTTGAAAAATAATTACACTGTGCATTCTGATTGACTATTCGGTCTGTTATACCTACCTAGAAATAAGTTAAATATCAAACAAAATATGGTTTAGAAATATAAAAATAAAAAATGTAATCAAACGTAAACATGAATAAATGAACTCAAGTTTTATCAAACTTGTTTTGTTTTATCAAACTTGTTTGCAATAGTGTTTCAGAAACCTTCTATCTGATGCAAATTGTGAGCTTAAATAATGGGGAAATTTTTTTTAGCCTTAAGAACCAATAATTGTGTTATCCTACAGTTTTATGTAATTCCTGTTCTGTTTTAATGTTAAGCTATTATTATTCTTTGATTTTTTTAAATGCTTTCTTTTGGTCTAAGCTTGGCGCAATATTACGTCTCTCTATGTTATACAAATTTTAAATTTACAACCAAATGAAAATAAAATAATACTTGACACTTTGCTAAATGTTTTATATTGGCATCTCTTTGAGTTCTGAATTCCTCTTGTGACTAAACTGCAATAACAAATACCAAAAGCGGACGTTGATATTTAAATTAATTACCTTATTCTTAAGGTTGTCTGAGCCAGTGTGATATTGAAATTGATTTTGACATTACAATATCCCATGGGGGTAATAGATCATTTCTAGTTTTGATTATTGATGATCAGATGATCAAAACTGACCAATGACTTAATTCGTAGAAAATGTTATTTAACTTTATATCCAATTAGCGTACATAAGTGACGTGCTAGTAATTCTTAATAAAGACATCTTGAAGGTTAATTATTAGAAACAATTGTTATATAAGAACATATCATGACATTTTCAGTTTACACATTTTGGACGTTTATTGGAGCTCCAGTTCCTCCCTTATTTTACAACAAATACAGGGGATTATATAACTCCTGTATCATTATTATCATGCATAACATATTTTCCAAATTATTTTTACCTTTGATTATTAGAAAAAGACTAATCAAGAATTACAATAAGAAAGAAGACATTCAATTTTTAATTTTAGTGCTACTATTATAGTCAGTTACATAAAACGACTTAAGAACGTTCAAAATTGAAACTGTTGCAGGTTCGGCTTGTTTAAGTTAATGACCGGTACTAAAACGTCCTAGGCCCCTAGCTTCGATTTTAGTAGTATTCAACAGAATTCATGAAATGGTAAACTTTGAATTTAGAAACACCCGCAAATATGTTCATACGACAGTTATAATGGAACCTTCCTGTATACATGTATAGATAATATCGATAGTGAAAACGTGAAGAGCAATCAAGGCTTACTATTAAAATTAACACTTGAAACCAGACGCAATTAAAGCAGAAGCCTAAAAAATATAAATGTCATTAAATTCATTATTTTTGATTACTATGCGTGGGAAATTTGTTATCTAAAGAGAGCTTACTTTTGCAAAACCTTTTCATTATCCGCGATGTTACCCCTTTTGTGATATACAAACTAGTCAAAAATTTTACGGTGATATTTAGCCAAGAGTATTATAAGCAATAAATTATTTTCTTAAGTTAAATTATACTCTATATGTCCCTATAGTATTGTTTTTTTAATAAGTAAAGATAGTTTTGATTCAGGTATATCTATTTTGATCAAGGTCTATCGTCTAAATTCTATTTTCTTTAAATGTATAAGCTTAAGTGATAACAAACAATCTCCTAAAAGTTCTTGTTTTATTTAAGTTCTTGGTGTATCATAGTAATGTTATACAAATGTTGTAAAGGATATATAAGATATAGCTAGATACTAGGTAAATTTAAGATATGGTGTGCAAGCCGGTAAAATAATCTATCTTGAAACTTTGTCTACCTATACAAAGCACTAGGTAAAAAGGTTGATATGGTCAAGAGATAGGTTATCATTCTTGACATATTTCATTTCCCCAAAACAACCAAACAAAAAATTATCTCATCAATATACTTAGTTATAAATGTCCTACAAATAATTTGGTATATCAGTTTATACTACACATATCACAAAATTTGCTGTTAAGACGTGTAATCAATTGAAAACACACATAAACATCTTAACATATTAGCATTTCATGCCACAAACATATTCATCACTTTGTGACAAACATAGCGTTTACAGTTAATATATATATAGATATGTAATACGATCCGTTAAGCATATTGTAAAGAAATGGAAATATAATGTTATTCAAGTTTTATATCTTTAGAATTAAAACATAAAATAAAGTAGGGTTCTTTCTACATGTATTTGCATGTATAATAATTCTTCTGTAAACTATGCTCATAACTTCAGTTTTGACTAAGACAACATTAAATGCGTTCAATACGGTTACCATGAAATTTATTCAATACTGACTACATTTTAAGAAACATCAGTACATTTATCGTTTTCTTTTATACCTATGTACATTTGCATTTGGATTAAAATATAATAATAATACTCTAATATCAGAATAATAGCATAAGCACAAACGCATATTCAGTAACTCTATATGAACTCTTTATCTATTTGTTGAATGATCTATAATTGTGTTTTCAGACCACTGAAAAAAACAACACTTCCGTTCCACGGCGTTTCAATTCATGATTTTTAATGTGATATTTTACAAGAAAACATATTTAAACGTGATTTCGTGTTGTCTATCAAATTATTCTCATCACGGTTAAATAACATTTTCCGACTTTCTCACCAAGGAAGACGTCGAAAAGTATTGCTTTTCGACTAAATATATATGTATGTAAAGACATTTGGAGCGAAAGAACGACATGACACAAATCAGCCACCATCAGTTTCAGTGTAAATTTTCTTTTGATGACAAAAAATGCTCAATGCCTACTAGGATAATGTAATCTCATCGGGCAAAGAAATAGTTCACACTCTCTTTCTCACAAATTACTGCTTAAGAGCTTTAACGGTGTTGCAATTACAATAGCAACCCAGAAGAGTCCAATCTGACCGAGGCAGAGATTTATTTGTACCTTTCTTACACTAGTTTCTTTTAGCAAATCGGAAGAAAATGAAAATATACGACATGTTTGAGGAAGTTAATGGAAAATGATAGCAAGAGTCACATTAAAATATTATGAAACATATTAGATGTGCTTAATGGAAAAAGAGTGATAGAAAAAAGGAAGAGAAATTTAGTAGCGCGTATTACTTTATGTACAATTTAACAAAAAAGTTGCTGTATTTTGTATGTCTGAGCGATACATTTCATATTCGGTGCAAGCGTTTTGTTATAAAACCTGATTATACCGGTATCAAATTAAAAATAAGATCTTATATAACTCAAAAAAATCCTTGGAAGCTAAGACTGGCATAAAGTGGTGCCAAGAAGAAGTCTGCAACACTAGTCTAGTTATGTTCTGGTTGTAATGATTTTGATTTTATTGAATGCATTTACCAAAAAAAAAAAAAATAAATAGAAATAAACAAAGTATTTTCCTTATGGGTGTTACCGTAATCATGTCAATGTGAACTGATTTTGCGCTTTAATATA